CCACAGACGAATTGGTATATTTGATGGGATGTGACCTAAAACAAAAGCGAATTAATGACTGAATGAGCCGACAGGTGTAAACGAAAACTGGTTCGACGGTGTTGAATGTGCGTTTGATAGACAAACTCACGCGGTATCCTAGCGAATTACTCAAGACATCACGTCGAATGGAAGTTTTAAAATAGCGTTACACTTTGGTACGGATATTTGTTGATCTACCTTCATACCTTATATGCTATACTTTTTAACAAATAATTTCCAATGGTCGTCGTCCTGGAGAGTTTCATTGACGTCTATGTCACTGCGAGGTTAGCAAGCGTACAGAGTAGTAAATTTGGAATACTCCATTCGATTGTTCAGAGGCACCAGGCACTGTTGATGGTCTCGGGTGTGGGTTTCAATCTGTGGGAGGTCGTTAATTCCCCAGTAGTGGAATGCGTTTATACGCGACAGAAAGATTTGTGCTGACCGACAAAAAGCACTAGACAACTGTTTCGTTCTGTTCTGCCAGTACTGCATACTTTTTGTGTCCCTGCTGACGAGTCCTAAACGGGATGAAACAGCTGCCCAGTGCCGTCATAAAGCGTACTCGTAACAAATGGGACGAAGCTGTAACTTCATTACATTCTTCGACTGTAGCATGTAAATAAGGAGATTCAGCGATATTTTCAAGGTAGTATTTTGTAGCACACTGTGCTGCTGTGTTCGCTATTCAAGGAGACCTAGTAAGGAAAGGTGTTTTGGAGTTCTAAAGTGTGCGCTCAACAAATACAAAGAACGAATTGAATTTGTTCCCACCAAGACAGCTCTTCGGAACAATTCAACATTATTACGAAAAATGCATCACAACTCACCGAAGTGTGGTTTATATCCAAGGATGAATCTGTATAGCACTGGTCATTCAAATCCGAAGATTCTACTGCGTTTTGTTTCGTTTTAGGGACCGGTAAGTACCACACTTTGGCTCGGAATTCCTTGTTCTCTAAATAGATGGGATTAGCCAGCATAAATAAATGGTTTTCAATAAGGCAAGCAGAAAACAACATTACAGCGAGATACCATGAATTCAATTACTTTGTGTACCCTAATAATGAGTGGATAGTAATACAAGGGACATGCCAATTAGAGCGATCCATCATCATCATCATCATCGTACAGCGAAATACAGTGAAGCGAACTTCGTTGATCGCTGTCAAACTCGCAATGCATAAAAGATTAGTGGTAAAATTTAAGGTGGACAGGGATTGGACCTATTTTGAGGGAGGGAGAAGGTGAACCACTTTGGTCCACACACAGAGTGCGTAATCGAACTATGCATATACACCGTTTCAAGCGTTCTGGTCTGATAAGAAATGACAAAAAGAACGCCACTGCTGCCGATTCGCTGCCATATCCTTCAATGTCTCCAACCAACCAGTTGTGGAGTCTTTCGGACCCCAAGCTGGAAGGCGAGAGACACTCACTATACCTAATGGCTCTGTGCATTTCTTCATGCCTCGACTCCACGTCATCTGTTGACCTCCAGGTGGTTTCCTCTAGCCCGAGGCGGCTACAGCGAATAAAGCGCGGTGCGACAGATGATGGTTGGGCATACGCAATACGTGCATTAGCCAGCGAAATTTACTAATATGAATGCGGTGTCCTAGCAGGTTTATACTCGAGAGATCCGAAAATCGGATAAGACACATGAGGGTCAAAAGGTCACATGAACAATCAGTCCACTAATTCGTTCATTCATCCACAACCCAGTCATCCATGTTTATTGCTGTTTAACTTTCATTGATGATGTAAAACGCACAAATTATGGAAAGATGAGGTATCTGAATTCATGTTGTCCTGCCAAAATGTGACTTATCTGTGCACTGTCGAAAAATGGAATGAAATAATATAACCGCAAATATAAAGCATGGACTGTTTGTTGATAAGGTAAAACAGGAATGTTCAATGCTCATAGTACAAAAATAGTTCGCGATTTTATCAGCAGGGTTTTATAAGCTTCAAACGCTGTACAGACGGTTCCATGAGGATAAGCGAGAGCTGATAGGTGGGCTTAAAAACAAACATTTTGCCGTTGAAAGGAAACCTTTTGTCACCGCAAAATCATCCGATAAAGATAGAAATCTTTTTAGCATAATGGGATTCAAAGGGAGCACAGATCGAACAAGGTTGCTACCTCTCTGATTCGGTTACTCACTGGAAGATAATAAGTCAGATACACCAAGATCATCCAGTGTCGGGTGAGCTTGGGTCAAGAGAAATCCCGAGTATAACATCTGGAGCCTGAGCACAACCAAGTGTGCAGTGTAGATTGTTAGCATGCTGGTATATTACCAGTGGTAGCTGAAATGTATTTAGCTGTTTCCACTTCCATATATCGTGCAACAGTGGATCCGAAACTACCTACCGGTTCTGCTATCTCTCATGCATGTTGACACTGAAGTCACGAAAGATACTGATTCCGGATATCTCATTATTCGTCGCGCCATAGTTGACAGTGACATAAAGTGACCTACTCAGATGTCGTTGTTCTTTCAAATTCATTGATTGAAGTGAGCATATGATCACTGTCAACGTGGTGTCACATGGTCGTAACTTACACTGACTCATCACGGTTGTCGGTTTCTATGTCGAAGTGCAAACTCAGGGTGTCCAGGGCACCTAGGTGTTTAAACCGAGTTGGGTGTATGAAGACAACCTTTTTTTCGAAATATTATGGTTGCTATAGAAAACAATCGATGACATGTGGTATTCCGGTTTTTCATTAGGTTGTCTTATAGATGCCCGAAAGGGGTGATGATCGTGCAAGTGTGAGCAAAGATAAACCAAACGTGTCAGGGAATACAGTACTTTTGTTGCATGGTGCACAGCCCGTCTTTTTATCGCTTCTGATTCACGAGGCTGGATCAAATCTTCCAGATTATTACACTACTCAAGAACAACCCTAAACTAAACGTTTTATTTCGGGTACCGATAGAACAGGATTACCATTTTATTATGCAACCAAGAACGCGAGTCAGCAAACTAAGCCAGGGGAGACTCACGGAACTCATAACTATGCAGCCGGTGTTTCGAATAGTTACACGCTGAGGTGGATAGGCTGTCCAGAAGAGATTATTATTCGTTCCCCTCCTTCTTAGCTCGCACCAACACTTTGCGGTATCGATCGCGATCTCGTGACCTGGCCGTGTACAGTGGTTTCAGAGTTGTGACTGCGGGTCAGCGCGTCAGAGGCAAGCTTGTGTTAGTGTAGGCGAGTGAGTAGTTGTTTGCCTGTCGTCTCACGTATGAAGTTTTGATTGAAGCCCAGACAAGAGATTGCGTAGATCACACATGATCGCTCGACTCGATCCTTGCCGTTGAAGAGAAATGTTCTAGCAGGTGCTGCTGATTTATGGACTACCACGATTCCCATTGGTCGGCGTATACGTTTGGTGGCTCCTTATATCCCGCGTATGCAGGGTAACGTTATCCAAATTCCCTCTTTTGTGTGTGTTATTTGCCCTTTACCCCTAATGCACGCGTTGATAAAGCTCCTGGGATATGCGCTCGACAAGAACAGTTGAAGAAGTCAACTTCTTCCTGTTGCTCTTAGCTACGGTGTGCTCTGGTGTGTTCGCTCGGTGGAATAGAGTTCGCGGTGGTGGTGGCCCATTGTCAACGTCACCAATTATCACCTCGGAGGACGTGTGTTCGAGTCCCGCCACCATCACCTGTCTTTCTCCATTGTGTATTCTATGGAGCAATCCCGACAACAGAAATACCGTCAGTATCAGATACCAAATCGCCTGATACATGGAGAGTAAAGCGTGAAGACGACGTGGGATTTGGAGATCACGAGGTGAATCTTTGTGTTTCGAAGATAAAACATACATATGAATTGGTAGTTCCAAGGGTTTTAGATAAGACAGCTTTTTGGTCGATCCGATAGAGTGTGTGGAAAATAAATGCGGCTAAGGGAAAAGGAGATTTTCGTATGTCTAATTTGGTACCTTCTGGTTGGTTGGCCTTAATGGTTAAGCGCTGAATGACACTTCATGGGTGGCGTTACCAGCAAGTACCTCAAAGAACTTGCAAGCGACAAGAGCTATTAAGATGAGAAACAGGCTCTACCAAATCGATGCATGAGACTAGGGTAAGAAAAACTTCGTGGTAGCCTATGTCGACGAATGGGTTTTTCTTCAGTAACCCTAACCGGAGCCTTCAACTTCAAAGTCTGACACACAAGGTAGTGGGCAACGGAGGAGCGTGACCGAAGCACTCTTGCGGGAACTTCTAGAGACCTTTCACGGAAGGCCTTCGGGTTTCGGTTCAGTGTATTGTGGGTCCGCTGATCGGGATTGGCCTGCAGCCCTATGAGACAGGCGGAAAGTTGACAGGACAGCTGGGAGCTGTCCAGCTTGGGCTGGCGGTAGCTGACCAATGAAGTGCGGAGCTTTCCCACAGTCAGGAGGAAGACCCGAGTACCTCATTTCTACGTTCATCCAGCGGAGGGTTTGAACCGGTAAACTGCCCCTCCTCGTGTTTATTTTTAGAGATACCTGTCCAGGGGCGAGCGTGTATAGTTCAAGAAAACCGGGAGGTGCCAATCAACTGGCATTGAAGCCGATGTTTTTCTGGTTTCTATCCATTGACCGTTCAGGCGTAACTGGATTTGAGATTGAGAAACCACGCTGCATAGCTTGAAGGGTTATTGGGGGGCACGGAAGAAACACAACACATCAAAATGCCGTCTGGTCGCGACGTAGTTTTGGTATGAATCTTCACGGGAGCTTGGGAAGTGTGTACATTCCCGCTGTTTGGAATGTTTTACTTTTTGGTTGCGGGACCTGGGACCCCTGAGCTGGGGAGACCCAGAGTGAATGAAGCAAACATTATCATAAACAGAGGAGTAACAATGCGGGTTGAATCGAAGGACACTGTTGCCTTGTCGGGAGAAGAATCTGTCCCAAACAACAGACATGAATATATACATAAAATACTACACGGAAAATAGTTCGACATTATTGCACACTTTTATCAACCATGTCATTGGCTGTGGATCGTAACATGCTGGGTGGAGACGATGAATTCACGGAACTGTCCGCCTGTCGCATTATGAAGATACCTATATGCGCACAATCCACGGAAAACACATCGTAATACAAAAAACGCAAATAAGAATAGGCCCAGAGGAAAAGGTTTATATCATAAACGCGGTATAACGATAAAACGAAACGCGCCAAAGCGAAAGTATATCGACGCGGAAAAGAGAGAATTGCAAAGCCTTTTGTAACACGCGCGTGCAGATACTCAATGCATAACTGCAAAACGCTTTCCAATATTCCAGCAAGAAAGATGATGATAGTAAGACTAGGAGGGGGGAGAAGAACGCATAAAACCATAGGATGCCCCTAGATATAAATCAGATGAGATTGAAACACACATGGTGAACTGCTTTTCAAGCATCACGCCACTTGGTTAACTGCATGAACGTAAGAGAACAAAATGTGTCAGTGTGTTGGCTTACCTGGATCAGAAACGCTCCATTCTGTAGTGGTGGTTAATTAATCAATATCAGCAATAATAACTCAAAACAAACACGATAGGACAAAAAGCAGACGTAACAAACACCTGCATTCCGATCGGGTAGATAAAAAGTACATCGACCATATATTTATTATTGTTTACGTTAGATCAGCCCATCTCAGCCGACCAAAACACGCGTTCGTCAACATGGCTCGGTCTTGTGAGCCCGTTTGTCGTTAACAATAGTGTGTGACCACTTTGTAAATAATCCGACATTTCAAAGTAAACATGACATCTTTCGGCAGTGGGCAGCAGGTGAGAGGGAAAAAATCACCTAACATCTACCGTGCACTGAAGCGACAGTCATTTAACTTTTTCTTCACAAGACCCCTTCGGAAAAGAACACAAACCAGTAGCTAAAATAGATGATACATATATATTATATTAGTATATTAGGTTTATCAGGTCGTGTACAGCGTGAAAGAAACTACTAAAACACACCGTTCAAGGAGAGACAACGATAAAATAAAACGCTCGAAAGAGGACATTTAGACAAAGAAAGCGGGAAAAAGGAGGTTCATGAAAGTAATGTCAGGAATCCAGAAGTTAACCAAGAGTGAACCTCCACAACTCCAAGTGAATCCGTCATAACCACGGAATCTAAGCAATCACAATCTATTGGGAACCATATCATCTTTATAGTACAGTGAGATACAGTGAAGCAAACTTCGCTGATCGTTGCCAAGCTCTCAATGTAAACAGAGAAAGTACAAGATGGATAGGGTTTGGGCATAACTGGGAAGAGGCAAAGAACGTGAACCTCCAGGGTCAACACACAAAGAAAAAGGTTCTTCAGCCGTCACACGTTACTAATTGGAACGGGTTTATCAAAAACTCGTTCAATCGGAATGAAATGAGTTCTTCTTAGATAAACAAAAGTTTCTTTTGAGTGCGTTACCATAATGGTATTGTCATACACAGACAAACTACACGGCAATAGGTTACTTTGACATGTCTGTATTCCATCACGATGACACTGCAAGTTGTGTACATCCATGACCCAGTGAACTGTACAGGATGGCCTGCCACATCGGGTCTAAAAAATCTCAATATTTAAAGCTTCGATTCTGTTATTGACCAATATGGTGGATCGTGCATGTGTGTTGCGGAGCCACAGTGTGCATCCGCGTATGCGCCACTGAACGATGAAATACGAAGACTTTCTACACTTAGGCAACCCGTTTCTTGATCTAGCTAGCTAGCGGAACCGTAAACTGCACCTCCCATGTTTACTTACAGAAATTAACTCTATCGGGTGAAATGGGATCTTTCATCTCTCAGTCACAACTGCTTCTTCCTCGGATGTGGCAAGCCAGCCTGTATAAATCGCTGGGTCATGGACGTACACAACTTGCAGTGTCATCGTGATGGAACACAGACAATTTGTTAAAGTAATCAATTACAGTCTGTGTGACAATACCAGAACAGAACAAAGCTGATTTTCTTTAATGAAAGAATCCACATCAACACCACCACCAGTTAATAAACAAAGAACAGGAGTAAAAGAACAACAGTGGAGGGTTGAAATTCCAAAGATTGATGTGTTCAGCAGAACTACAAACCTGGTGGTAACCACTGGTAATAATACATGTGGCTGTGACCAAATTCGGTGCATAACAGGGTTGAGAGGAGGGTGCTTTTCTAGATCAAAGAATAGCACATGTACACAATTGTCGGTACCGGCGAGAATGAAATGACTGCAGCACGTGTGCCGTGAACCCACACAAGTTTTGACGGTGTTGATACCGCGTAACTCGATCCGAAATGCGGATATCTATGATCACCTTTAATCTGTAATTCGCTCGAGCGGTAGTCAACAATAAACCGCATAGGTTAGGTTCCGAGTAAACATCACACCAGATGAAAATCCGCATCAAGTACACAATAACCTATTTCAAACCAATTGCTAAGGCGGGAAAAGTTCGTTTTTGTCCCAAAATTCGCATTGTTTGAAATTTTTCAGGCGAACAAACAAAAAGCGGACGGTTATGCATCGACATTTCATCAAGGAATCCAGGTGGGTGCGTCATAGCCAACAAGTGGATACACTTACGGATATCAGAAAACTATTCTATTTCACTTCACAAACAAAGAGTGAGAACGAAGGTTCCTATGAGTTTATTCCCTCTCAAACTCTCCTTCGGATCATCTCTCTTGGTGAGAGTGCACGCTTATTTTGTGAGTGGAGACACATGCATACTGTTTGGTTCACAGTTTTCCAATAACACGCGAAATCCTTTCACGTTCAACTGTTTTTACCACGTATTTCGCGTATAACGCGACCACAGTGATAGCTAAAACGCTGAAATTTTGAACACGTGTCGCACAGCAAACTCACACGTTAGATACACAAAGAACTCAGTTAGTTTAAACGTGACTGTGGATGTAGCGCACAGAACGCTCTCTGTCGTATGCTTTTGAGGCCATTGTATAGGCTTTATCGATCACCGCTCAATGATCTAATATCAAATTGGAAACGGTTCTTTAGCCAAAATTATGGAGATATCGACCAAAATTGGCTGCCCATTTAGATGAAGAATAAAAGAAGACAGGAAAGTTGAAAGTAGAGTCGAACACAAAATGGAGACTGATCAATAGCATGCTAAGACGTGTTCCTATTTGCAAATAAAGAAAATTGTATATTTCGAAATGCGGTTATTTTTACCATTTGTTTGGACTGCCCTTAAAAGAGTGCTCCGCACTCTTTTAACATAGTCATATGCAATCTTCGGAGTTACATTTAAGTTAGGTAAATTTTTTATGCATATAACGACTGAGTTTGCAGCACAAAGTGTTCAAAATTTCAGTACTGAAGAGAGAAATGTGATTGAGGTGTGCACTCGAGAGGATCAGAAATCTAAAGAACTGCAAGTGAAAATGTGGGATGAACCCATGTACCTTTTGTGATGTATAAATTTCTCCGGAGGTGCAGTAAACATAAACGCGATTTGGAAACCTAGCTAGATAAGTAATATTAGGGTCTTGACAAATCGGAGAGAATCTATGTCAGCAATGGAGAAAAGAGCAAAAAGCAAATACTCTAAGCAGTCAATAATTCATACAACGCACGCAGGCACAAATGGGAAACAGATAGACAACAGGTGGTGCAACCAATCAAAATACAACAAAGCTACACAAATGACATATGACATCAAACACTTTCGTGGACATTGTTAAGACTAGTACAATGAACGCAGGACATGTGAACTCATCATAGACAGATCTGTGGAATCATCTAAAAAGAAGAAGCATCTCTTCTTTGTGAGTGCATCACGAGAAATCGGTAGATCGGGTTAAAATTGCGGGTAATTATGGATAATTATCCATCATTACGAAATAATGACACGTTTTTATTACACACCTTCGTGTGATGAACAGCAGACGAGGTAAACCCCATATTCACGAGGACCTGCTGTTCATTGATGCAACCGGTAGCCTAAGCCCCGGGACTTGCAGTGGCGAACCACATAAGGCCCCACCAAACAGTGGTAACACGCTGCAAAACAAAGGCATATGTCACGCCTGACTGACAAGTCATGTTCGAGATTAATTTAGGAAGAACAAAACGAGATGCATATGTATTACCCGGGCTGTGAAAAACAGCGTAGCATTGGAAAATGCCCGTCAGACTGTTGTCAGTCATTGTTGGAACTGAAAATTATATTATAGAAGCCTTAGGTACGTTGACAATCGGATCGACATATCCGCATCGCAACAAAATGGTATTTAGTCCGTTACTCTTCTCAAGACACACCGAAAGACTGAGATTCTTAGTGGTGTGAGGCAGACAAGTCCAGTTCAGTTCAGTTTTTACAACCATTAACCATGCACTTTCATGCGTCGGTTTTGGTTGCCCGTTTGGATAAAAGAGCGAAATGAAGATTGGAATGTCGAAGCAAATTCAAGCGGAAGATGAGGAATTCATATAGAGTGGTGTTAGGAAAATAACGAGTGGATGCACGAGCGCCACTGTTTGCGACACCCAGCCATATCACTCAGTGGAGCTAACCATCGGTGACCATCATCCCCAGGTCCCCGGCCAGGGAGCTTAACGGGGCCTATGTGACCTGATCTCCTGGTTAGGGTTTTCATGCCCTCATGCCAGGTCTTAGCTTGACCACCCTTTATCTTTTTCTAATCGCTACCAGCCTTGGCAAACATCGTTCACCGCGGCAACCTATCTGGCGACATACGTAACACATGTCCCAACCAGCGTAATCTATGAAGGTCGATCACTTGCTCTAGTGGACGACCGCGACTGCCTAAAACTCTACGCCTAACCTCAGCATTGCTATTCCGGTTACCCCACCAGACACGTGCAATGCTACGTAGACAGCGGTGTTCGAACACCGACAATCTATTTTTATCCTGTTCCCTTAGTGGCCAAGTCTCTGCACCGTAGAGCAGGATTGGCCGAACTGCTGCAGAAGGCAGACAATGCTAGATTCACCAAAGCCTGTGCCTAATTCACTTTAGAACATTTGAAAGTGAAGCTCAGGATTGGCAACCTATAATCATAATATATGGGATGTCGAGTATGGAACGATCAATTCGATGGTTACGGAACCACTTAAACGATTCTTTTCTCGGATATTTCACCACGTTGTCGTAAGTGTAGACCAAGGGTAAATGAACAAAGAAGAATGGAGTCAAGAAATTTCAATCGGGTTAATCTGCGTGCAGTAAAACCATCAACAGCAAAGGTAAGAGGATTCATAAATACCGATACAACACACCAACATCACCGACAGTGGAAACGTACGACGAAGGTATAATCCGTGATTAAAATAATTGCATTCTACGTGAATGTATTAGTAAATGACAGAAAGAACACCGAAATCACGGACTCGAAGGTGCGTGTGAGACGGAATGTTCAAAGCTACTGCATAGCACATCGGATTTTTCTTTTACATTTTATTTATCAAATTTCCCTGTCCAGCATTTACAAAATGAAAATAAAACAATGGACTAATGTTATTATTGACTTTGTGTTCACAATTACTTATATTTATTTTGTTGGACAATCAATGAGAATAGTGAACAGAAATTGGAAAAAGGAAACCAAACTAGCGCCTCACCCGACTTGGAACACTTACTTGCCATGGAAATCAGTGTAGCCACACCAAAACGAGCCTGTCCGAGCCAACGAAAACTCTCACTTCGTGTGTCCAAATCGGCCAAGCCACCCCATTCTATGGACAAGATCCCGATGCGTTGTGTAAAAGGTTCCGCAGTCTCGAACAGGATCGCATCAAGCGGGCGAACTTGTTGACTCGAACTAGTCACAGAACCTGTCGGGACGGATTGTATTGTTGCACACGGTGGGCTATGGCTGAGTATGAACGCCGAGTGTAGTAAACAATTTTCACAGGAGGCTAAGCTGAATATATCAGTTAAAGACAAGGGAGATATAGACGACTTCATCACAGACGATAATACAAAATATGGCTTACATGGCAGAAACAAGAAAATAATAGACTCAATGGACCAAAGTACACTGTCATGAGTGCTACAAGCTGAGTAAATGGATTAATCATGGAATAGGTACAACGATAAGACTTGGTGTGTTAATAAAAATAATCTGCTGGTGTACTATTCTGAAAGTCACCACAGATCAAAAGTTGCTGTCACACGCACAAGAAGAAAACTGCTATGATAGAGTAATTAGTCTAAGCAGTCGCATTCAGCGAATGGACAATGGTTGTCGATTACTCGATAAGTAAAAAAGTGGAACAAAACAAATAAACGGCCCTGTTATCACACCCAACAGTTTACCTATCAATTTCAGTTTTTACAGCCATTAACCATGCACTTTCATGCTGTCCTCTGGTTGCCCCTTTAGATAAAAGGACAGAATGAACATTGGAATGTTGAAAGCAAAGTCCAGGTTGACTTAGAAGTACTAAAGCTTTGAATTAATGTACAATTGAATAGCTGTTTTAAATCATATCAAAACTTGAAAATAGGAACAGCATTTGGACCTCTTTATGTACCCATTAGATCGATTGCAAGAGAGGTTTAAACAAAGAGTTGGACCAAGACTACCCTAACAAAGGCTAAAAATAAAACTGTACCAAGCAATATCGCTCATAATTCCACGTACACTCAATGTTTTCTCTATCTTGGTTGCAATCCAGATAATGATTTGGTACCAGATGTGAGGAAATCAATTAGATATACATACGTGACAACGCAAAGTTCACTGGTCTCCAGCCAAATGAACATGCTTGTAGNCTCCAGCCAAATGAACATGCTTGTAGTTTCCTTATGGCGTCCGAGTTCGCCCCTCACATGAGTTGATAGATTCCAGCTGTTGAGAATAATCGACAAAGTTGTATAGCACTTTTCCAGTTTACAGTCCGAATCTAATTTACTTTACTATACTATTCTCTTAGCACTGGAACAGCGTTAGGATACACGCTTAGCATACAAGAGAGAAATAAATAAATAACTCTTGACTCATTACGCTAATGCCTGCTTCAGCGGTATCAGTCAGCTCCGGTCCTTCCGGTCAGTGCTGAACCACGGAAGCAAGTGACAAGTGGGTACACAGTGTTTACTGGAGAAGTCAAATGAACATGAAAAAACACGTTCATTAGTATACCGCGATCAACGGTTCTTCAGCTTTCAGATTAACGTGAGGGAAAGTTCAAGTGAAATCAGTTCCACTCTATGCTTCACTCACCCTGAAAGGTGAATATTCAGTAAGTACATAGTCAAAGCACAATCAACCAAGTATAAATACACTATGATTTTAGAAAGCAGTGGCAAAAGAGAATGTAATTAACGATATGGATAAGTAAAGTTTAGAATTACTGAGAAAACCGGTAAGAAAAGGTAGCACAAAAGACTGGTAGGCGGTGGTGCCTGAAAATATAGTTATAATAGGATCAAGTAGAAGAGGACATAAACTTGAATGGATGCGAAGGGTTGCTTATTATCATAGTTAACGACAAGTGACACGTGTTTGCATAGTATGAAACAATGAAGTGACAGAATTTCACGGAATATCCAGCTACTTCGAGATCGATGTGCTAAGAATCTGGAGAGCTCAAATTATTCTTGAGCATCGATGAAAAGATTGCAGGGGACTCGTAATGTATTGTACATAACTTTTGCAAGCAATGAAGCTTACGTTTCAGTTAGAAAATATACATGCAAACCGCCACAGGGAACATTTATAATACGGAGAATATGTTTACAGGCAGAATGGGGATATTTCAGTCTACGGTTTACTTGATTCCCTCTTTTCGTTTGTAATTAAATGTGCAAGATAGGGTATAGGTGAATCCCGGTAAACGTTTATAAGAGATGACATTTTTCGGAATTCGGACAGCGTGGTAGGATGAGAAGGACAAATTCTCATTTCTGCATTTCATCGGTGGTTAGAGTCTGAGAGTGCTCTCCGCAAATTTGACACAAGAAGTTGTGACAATCTGAAAGTTTCATAATTAACTCGTTCACATAAACAGACGAAACGCGACTAATAATGGTTAGACGATGGTGTAAAACTTTGAAATCTTGTTTATGTAAGCCAGTGAAAATAAATGGGGAACAATGAAGTAAAGTAGGGAAAACACACTGATATAGAAAAGTACAAATTACTGACTGGGATGCACGAAACTACCCGCGCTTTCGGATTTGAAATGATAAGCACGTCAGGTTACCAACACAGTTATGGATGTGGTCGACCAACGAAAATTGCGACCTATAGTTACACCGAGAGATTTTACAGAGTTTACTTTGGACAAAAGAATGCTATTATTCTTGAACCGGACGACAGCAAAGCTGCCTATCACCAAAGTTAGGTGGCGGGGTCCGAACCTTGAACCATGGGGTCTAGAGCATACTAGTGACAGCGACTGAACTAATGCATTACCACCGTCCACAAAGGAGAATAAATATTAGTGGGGCCTTATGTAGTTCACCACTCCAAGTCCCAGGGCTTAGGTTACCGGTTTCCACCACTGAACAGTAGGTCCTCGTGACTAAGGGGTTCGCCCCGTCTGTTGTTCATCACACTTAGGTGTGTAATAAAAAATATGGTTAAAGTCGCCAAAGATGATGAATAAGTTAACATCTAAAAGCGGGGTAGTAGAAGTTATAAATGATTCGAAGAATGACATACGATCTGATTGTGTACAGTAAGGTTTGCTATGTACGAGTTAATAAAAATTGTGTGGATGAAGTGAGAAAATCATGGGGGACTGCGCGGTTACGCACTTAATACCTTCTAAGCAGTAGTGAAAATAACATGGGACTGGTCACACCAGGAAACGTTGACACACGTTACAACACCCCTACCTGTCTTCTTTCATCCGGTTTCAGGATCCTGACGGTAAATTTGAAAATCGCCTATCGACACCATCTATATATATATCTATCTATATATATCCTTATCCAGTCAGGATTCTTGTACACAGACTATACAAGTTTTCATAAGAACTCTCGAACAGAGAAAATTAGTTAAATCCGACATTTCGTAAACAGGGACTCAATGTTGGTGCTGACGGGTGAGACATCAGTCATCTTGACCAAACGGGTGAAACTAAGAGCAACTTGACAGCCTGTTTTTTAGCTGGACGGTGAGAAACTAAAGTCGCACAAACTGATGAACCTTCAAAAGATGTCCTGGTACGTTTGAGACAGATAATGTAATCCCGTGAGGGAGAACGACGCATTACATTGATTGAAAATGTAAAAGTACCAAGAAGAGAGCGTGTCAGTGTAGCGCAGGGAATTGAAGGATGAGCACATATACAGGCAAAGGAGCATATTACACGCAGAAAAAAACGGCAGATCAGGAGGCGAGGGATGGATAAAGCTTTCGAGCATAGGATTATTCTAATTCCTGACCTTTCCGAAAATACAAACCAACAAGAAACTGTGGTTAATTAATACACCGAGAGACTTGACGTTAGCTAGGGTTAGTTAACGGTGCCAAATGGGATGTTTATTGTAGANATGGTCCGAGGTTCGATCCCCGCCACCGCCACCCGACTCTGGTGGTAGGCAGCTCTGCTGTCGTCCGGTTCAATACCACGCCTAACCTATCGGGGCCTTATGTGGTTCGCCACTTCAAGTCCCGGGGCTTAGGTTACCGATTTCAACCACTGAACAGCAGGTCTTCGTGACTATGGGGTTTACCCCGTCTGCTGTTCACACACCTAGGTGCGTAATAAAAAAATAACTGTTCCTTTGGAGAATTGCGAACAGTATGACTATTTATTAAGAGAGATTTAGTTAATTTGTGTGCAGCTGATCAACCAGCACGGTTAGTAAAATAGAGCAGAGTGGAACGGAAGCAAAAGAGTGGGACATTCCTAACACAATACAGTTCGTGTATGTAATAAGCAAGAGATTTCGTGAGCAGGTATAGATGAAATATCTATGGAACAGGAAAAAACGGAGAAAACGGCACACTGTAGTAAACCTAGTGCAGAAAGTGAAGGAGAGGAAGCATGTCCGTGGTACTAGGTAAACTGAGAACGATTTAGAAAATAGTCTGTGATAAATGCAGCGATGGTAGTTCATATTCCACTAAAAGACAGAATTGANAATTGAGCAGTTTAGACCTGGCAGTCCTATAGTAGGTGTCACTGTAATAGAAGAAACATATTCCGACAGCTTTCCTGTTTCCGTTGAGTGCCGACAGAATATAACGAACCACAGAAGGTAGGACTCCCAGTGTGGAGCTAGCGTGGCGGTACACAACCTTATTTAGGTGCCGCACGATCAGCTAAAATGACATTCCTTGAACGAATTTCTTCTCGAAGAGCAGACGTAGATATGATGGAACGGAGTTTTGAGGCTCCTCTTTTAGGTATCAGTATGATAGAGACAGATCTGCAACAATGGGGTTTTACGAGCACTGATGAAAGCGTATCAGCGCAATCCTTAAGGATAATGACCTCCAGCCTATTGGGGCCGAGTGATTTATTGGTTTCGAGAACCAACAACCGACTGAAAACATTCTTCAGCAAAGGTAAATATAACGCCGAGTTGAGTGTTTACGGGGTCGATGGATCTCCCTGTTGCTAGTTTTTTAATAAATGTTTGGTCATCAACGTCTACCTTTGTCTGAGACACGATCGACGATTAGTCACTCAGTAACTTGATCGTGTTCTACGTTTCTCAGGAGGTTTGCTGGTGCAGGAGTGTGCGCATCTAGAATCTGTTCAGTTTATGTAGCTTGCCTTTGACATTAAGTGATTAGAACTCTATCCCGTGAAGATACTTGCGTTTGTATGCTCGTCCATTCATCTGATGTAACACTATCAGATAAGTGAACGAAATGGAATGATTAGGATGGTAGAACACAGATAGCGAAACAGTAGGATAATGCATAAAAGTTACGGAAGTATCTGGAAACTGAATGCATTCGTCTGCAGGAAAAGAAGACGGGATAAAAGCGTTACTTAGAGTAATCAATCGCTAAGAAGTTTCGGCAGATTGCGAGTGAACGAAATGAGCACAATCGACGAGATGTTTAAGAGAAAACGTTTCAGGGAAAGGTATATCGTGTGGTGTAGTTCAATATTTAAAAACAGTCGAAACATGATACAGTACACGAAATGCTGCCAAATACGGTCACATTCTCGGTTAAACTGGTCGCCCAAAGACACCCATCTCACGCCACCACCGAAATACTTAATATTTTGTACATTAAGACCACTTCACAAGAACTGGCGATGTCACCCTAGCTGATGACGTTTGTAAACAAATAACCAAACTCAGCGAACAGGCCAAATTGAATTATAGAAACCCGTTATTGATTGGTGTACACACTGAAGTGCGGTGGCTCTCATTGCCATTATGTGATCGAGGTTCCTTCACATGACATAGCAGTGTCTATCAAGTCATACTCCTTATTTCTTTGACTTCCCTAATAATGCCTAATGCCACTTTTGAACGACCCTCCTCCTAAGTTGATCTAACAAATATTTGAGTTCGATGGACTCGCACTGCTTATGAGTCTCAATCAGGTCGAAACAGCTGTCCAGGGCCTACTAACGTTTTAGTTCACGCTCCATTTGCTCAGCACACAATGCAAGTTACATTGAGAGCTTGAACTTTCAGCCACGAGTCATTCTTATTCCCCTTCCAGTCAACCCGTTTCACACACTTCCTCGAAGACAAACCATGTTTTATTCTTTCGAAATCCAGCAGCGCAGATCGTTGAAAAAACGCATTCAGTACCTGTTCGTCGAGATAAGTTTGGTCTCGTTGGTCGTGGTTGAAAAAGAACTAATTTTGTCGAACAAATATAATTGTTCTAATGATTATTAAGCATTAGTCAATGGTCTGGTTTCTGGTTGATAGGTTGCAGAGATAAGAAGAGGTCAAAAACGCGTATGCACGAAACATACCCGGAGGCATAGCACACAGCACTTGCGGTGGCATTTCCCCCACCGGCCGGAAGAAATCCTAAAGCGATCGATTTATGCGACTTGGTGACCCCAAGATTGTGCACGTCCGGTTTCTGCTCAGCTTGATTGCCTAGCTGGAACTTTGTTTGATCATTGAGATCGCCATTCCCAAGATGTACTGCATCAGAAAAATCTCGATATGCCAATCCATTGATCACTTCGTAGATCAGGCCGTCCCCAGAAATGGTCAAGAGAGCACGATATGTCTCCAATATTGAAGTAGAGCAATGCCGAATCCAGTGCTCCGCATGGCCTGGATACTCTATAGCGAGAGTTGAAGAAGAGATTGTGNAGATTGTGAGGGCAAATAAAATAATCACACTAATAGAACAATCGCCGATCCACTCCGTGCGGGTATGATGTTATCGGTTCTTTTCGCAAATTATCAACAAGGTTGACAAAATGAATTCAATCCGTTCACCTTGACTAGCGGTAGATCATATGAATGCCCAAAAATTAATCCAAATGAGAAGCTTGTCTATCACTGTAAAACTAGGAAAGAAAGAGATCAACGAACTGGACCGTTCAAAAAGAAAAAAATTAGATTCAATAAATGCGGTTGAATGAAGAAAAAAATAATACCACAGATTGTTAGACATTCTGTCCCTTATCCTTCATGCATGCTACTTGAATTCGAAAATCGAACGAACTGACGGTACATCAAGGCAGCCATGTACAATTTTATTTCCACTTACTACAACAGTAATGATTTACTTTGCCGTGTGTTTTGATTTAGTTCCGAGTTGTAGTGTTGGGCTAAACCATTACTTCGCAGAATCCGCTATACAAGAGTCACTAGTCTGATGTTGTTTTTTCGTCCACTCATTTTGGCGGCGGAGGCGTTTTCCCACCAAAGTGAGAGGACAAAGAACCAATACCTGGGGCTATAACCGGCTCCGTTAACCACTGACGGTTCAACTAAGGGAGTCGGCTAAAACCCCTGANCCAACCAAGAAGAGCCACACGAGCCACATACACCTTGGTGGTTATGGCAGTGGTCACCGACTCGATTAGTCATCGGGGTGTATTGAGTGCCGTCCAAAAGCTTAATGACCAGCCGACACTGGCCCCCAATGGATTGCGATTTTCACACCCCAACCCGCTGTCTCACGGGTCAGGCTTTCGTTAGCTGAAGGCTTTGGTTGTTAATTCCAAGAAAATTCACCTGTGTTCGCCTGGGCAACCTAGCAGTGTCGTCACTAGATCAATTATAAATTGTGCTGCATTTAGCCAGTTGATGTAGCGCTGAAAACGAGCTGGTTAGCTAACTTGCGTCGAATAAGCACAAGTTCATTCGCTAACGTGCAGTACAAGCCAATCCATACGGGAATTCATTCCACATGTGAAAACTCAAGCATCGCGGAGCAGTTTTGGTGACGCGATCGGCTTTTTGCTGATATTCTGTTTCAAACTTCAGCAGAAGATCCAACTGCTACACGACTTCATGTTTCAGTCAGCGAAGGCAGTTTGGAAACAGTTCCAAAACGTTCAGGGTACGGTTTATGAAGAAACAAATATTTCGTTCAATGCCACTAATTTCAAGAAGTCACTATCCCGAAAAAAGGTTATTTTCAAAAATGGTTCAGAAACGCCAATGGGTACCTTTATCAGCTCCCGGTGAACAACGGGTTTAACCCTGGAATGAATGCAAGTATTTCGGTGGGAGACATTCACGGCTAATTTGTATATTGTTTAATGCCCAGGGCCACAACTGCGGCAAGTTTGGCCGTATTCAGTTTGTACGCCATGTCTTACATAAACTCTATCTTGTTTGATCCACCGAAAATTTAGCTTCTGAGTAGCGGTTACTAACTTTAGCTTGTACTTGTTCCCTACATTAACACCATATTGTTCGTGATTTCATTACTAACGAATTCATTCATCACAAATCTATATTAAACCCTGGTAGTGTTGATTTTTATCACCAGAACCAGCCCCCCCCCCCCCGGCCGGATGTGTGATGACTGAACGAGCCCTATAGTCACGAGGACCTCCTGTTCCGAGGTGGAAACCGGCAACCTAAGCCCCGGGATTTGGAGTGGGGTGAACCACACAAGGCCCCGCTAATGCTTATCCTCTTTTGTCATCAGGCCCCGCTAGATTAAGAGTGGTATTGGACCGGACGACAGTAGAGCTGCCTACCACCAGGCAGACATTTCATGTAAGGGAATAACTGGCCATTCAGTCCGTATTTTAGGGTTACCTAAAGTGTTTCTTAAAGATAATCAATCGATAAAGTCTTTCTGGTTATAGATTAGGATATTTCTGTCGTTGGTTTAAATGGTCCTTGTCATTTTTATTCGTTTATTTCCTGCATCGATCTCGTCTTCATCACCTAATAATCGTGCGTTTTAAAGCAAAGGGTGGTGTCAAAATGACAGAGTTTAGAAGTAACTGGCTCCGCTGTGTTGATGAAACCTCGTATTATTCCGTTTGGGTCCCGTTAACCTGTCAGGGAGTTGGAAGAGATGATCAGCAAGGGGATTCCGACATCAGTGAATTCCTTGACTTGGGCCGTACCATTTGCCAATCCGTTGAAAAGTGACGAAAATACACCCTAGACTATGTGGTGATTATCATGTTACTGCAAACTGCTAAAACAGCCTAGTTGTTTTACTGTTGAACCTGAAAACATTCTTTATCAGCTCAAAAGTTACTTTTATTCGTGATTTTAGAGGGGGATTTCTTCATATTCCTCTTAATGAATACTCTTGTGAACGCGTTACTATTAATACATCTTTTGGTTTATCCTGCTACAACTTTCTACCGTTTGGACTCAGTGTTTCCCCCACTATTTTTTAGATTGCAATCAATTTAATCGTGTCCGGTTTGCAAGACGATACAACTGTTCATGCTCCTACCAGACATTGACACAACGAACGAGCATGCGTTTTGCTTGCGATTACCTTGTTGAGAGTATCCGCATAACGAACAGATTTTTTTGTTTGGGTTCTTTGATTGATGAATATGGATTTCCACGAACATGCTGATCGGTTTTCTCCAGTACCCAGTGCTCCATCGCCAAATTCATTCGAAGTATGACGTGCCCTGGTTAATTCTTTACCGTGCCATTCCAGTTTTATTCGTATCTTTGCTACTCCAGCTGTCCGTGTGTTTGATTTACAATCACAGCAAACATTATTATGAACCTCAGCACAGGAATGCGCTTTATTAAATTTACTTTCCTTTAAATCACCAATGCCTTTTGCCCACAATTAATGTCCACTGCCACTAACTATTGCACTTGAANTACAGCATCATCCGGTACTGTGTACTTCACGCCGATCCACAGCTGCTTGTCGCGGATATTCACAGACTCAACGTGACGCGCGTGCACAAGTATCGCTGGTACTTACTTCCTTATTGTGACTGATCATAAGGCTAGACATTGCATTTCTCAATCTCCTAAATTCCTTAGTGAAATTAGTTATCGACTATTTCACTACACAAAACCCAGTGCGGAATTTACCATTCAAACCTTAAGGAAGACATTCGGTTGAGAGGACGATCCCTGCGCTATCGTGCCTGACAACGGACATCATTTTGTTGCTAGGACATTGACCTACTGGTTGAATTCCGTGGGCAACCGTCGCGTTTTAACTCTACCCCGGCAGCCGCAATCCAATGGTGTAACCTAGAACTTTCAGCGCCTTTTGAAGATTGCTATTGTTTCCGTAAATCCTAGTACTTTGATGATTTTTTATTTCATACCTGTGTGGTGCACAGCAGATGAGGGAAACCCCACAGTCGCGAGGGCCGTTGATCAGCAAGGGAACCCGGGAAACTAAACCCCGAAAGTCGGAGTAGCGAACTACTTAAGGTAAGGCGTTGTACTGGATTCGACGAGAGCAAATCTGCCTATCACCAAAGTTAGGTGGCGGGTTTCGAACCGTCTTAACTAAGAATCTGCCGAAGTTGTGTACCATCGCACAAACGACCACCTACAAGCATAGTACGATACAACAAGAGACAAAGAATTTGTCGAATATCGAACTTAGACGATGGTAGGTCACATCGTAGGCATAATCTGTAAATTACCAAATATTGAATTTAGTGCTCAATTTTGTAATACCGCTTTTTCTGAGATTCTTTGAACTGAGTCATACTCCAGTACTGTTTATTACAGGAAACACCACCGAGTAATGACGAAAATCCGAGCTATGAACAAGCCAGTTAATGGTTTCAATGTTTCGATGCGCCAGCCACATTCTAGTGATATCGGTCTTATGTATAGAAGGACTACGATGCTGAAAAAACATGGTTCTCAGTCGATTTTCTGGAATTGCCGGGAGAATATATTTGTTCAAGGTTTTAACGTACGATATAGTTTCCTAATTTCCTTCGAGAATTACCCACTAACAATTTTCATTCTCGAAATGGCATCCCAGAAAATTACAGCCCCCCACTCTACCGTACGCCTGACGGCTGAAGGCTAACTTGCTCTTACGCAGGCCATGCCAGTAGAACGTGAGATCATCAAGTTATTTTTTCGCGCCGCTGTATAACACACCGCTCCATTCAGAAGCACAGTTGATGGGACTTCTACGAACGCAAATAGATCACCAATATGTCAACCTGTTATCCATGGTACGGAATTATAAATAAATAAATGTCTTTTTACTTCCTTTTTCTGTTTATTGAATATACAAATGTACAGTCAACTTTCAGGAAGGGGGTTGCGGTCATAGAAAGGCTGCCTGGGGAAAATACAGATATAAGGAAGACGGGCGGCGGTGAAGCGGTTTGAACCCGGTACACCCAGGTCACTAGTTGGTGACCTAACCACTTGGCCACCACCGCCCGGTGGTGTTATTGCGGCAACCTCGTTTACTATCTTCTGGATGTTCATTCATAAATCCTAGAAAAATTGTGCAACTGAGAGATTTCAGGATATTATGAGCAGTACAGCAATAATCGATTTTAAATAAGCAACGTGACGTATCGGTGGCCAAGTGGTTAGGTCACCAACTTGTGACCTGGGGGTCTCGAGCTC